TCGGTGCTCTCAGTGCAGCAGCGCTGTGGCTGCCCCTCGCTGGGGCCTCGCCAACAGGCACAGATGCAGCTTCCAGCCCAATCTGTGCTGCAGCTGGGGCTGGGAAGGGTTCAAGGAGTGCTGCTTCTTGGCCAGAATCACCAGGGGTCCAGGCATCCTGGAGAACACCACGGTTTGGGGCTTCATTAGGTGTCATACATAACTAATGACTCTGCAGTAGCGTATGGCAGGAAAGGTCCAGAGCCAGCCACCAAGGTGGAGAGAAATCAAAATGGCAGCTGGAGCTGGCTGGGAGAACAAGAGCAATTTTCCCAGTCACTTCCATTTGTTCCAGTATCACTCAGCCCCACACCCCTATTTGATGAGAGATCACAATTTCGCTTTAAGCAACACTATATGAAATAAGACAGACAGCAGATCAGGTTGTAAACTGCTGTGATTACACAGGCAACATTAATTCCCAGCACCTGAGACTCCAGCTCTCCGTGCGGTGTCGATAACACCAATTTCAGTAATTTCAGCAAAGCAAACTGTACCAACAATAGGTGGAGGATGGAGGAGGCTCTTCACTCTCCTGGAGGATCAGAAACTCGCAGCAATTATCAGTTAACAGTTCCAGCTGCCTGGTAAACTTAAGACTAAAGTAAACACATCTCAGCTCTGAGGCTGGAAACAGAAGAGCTGTAATTATTTGCAAGTTCAACTATTGCCCCCATCGCCAGATACAGAGAGCGAAATGATGCAGACCCCAACGCATCCAGCTTCTGACAAAGACGTGTGATGCTCCTCGTGCAGACATTCAAGTGTGCTTCTAGGACACTCAAGATTCAGGTGTGATGAGTATAAAGTATTAACCATTTACTCCCAACAGTAGACAAAAGGCTCATTATTATGGGCGAGCCAAATTCCTACTAAAAAATCAGCTCTGACGAGCCTCCTAAGAGGAGCAAGAGATTCCCTTGTCTTTGCTGAGCATGGGGGGGAAATTCAGCTGTTCTGACAACCAGATCATGTTTGATATCATCTGAGCTGACTCGATAGAGATGTCAGATGGGAGAAGACAGCAGAAGTCTGCCCCGCAGTTTAATTGGTTTACACTTTTGTACATCCTGTTTTAAAAGTAAGGCCTTCAAAATGCGATTTGGACAAGTGAGTTGTGTGGGGCTCTGTCCTGGGCGGTCCCTTCTCAGTGACCAAAGCAGCACAGCTCTGAACACAGGCTGTATGTATGGCTGGATTTATGGAGCATTCATTATTTTAACAGCACTTACTGACTTTGGGTCAAATATCTTTTTCCAGCATTTTTTTATTTCAGGAACGAGCCCGTATGTCACAATCTCATGCCTCATCTAATTGGATAAGTGTTTCCTTTGTCCTTGAAACCGAAAAGTAGACCACGTATCCAGGAGCTACAGAATGAAAAAGCATCTGCCTTTGGTATTTGGCATGCCTCAATTAAAAACCCCGCTGCCTGAGATATCATTTTTTCTTGAGTCCTGACCAGAGCACTTCTGCTCAGATTCAAGTGGACAGTTCTGAAGGTCGAGCTAGGGGTATGCAAAAAACCCCAAATCCTTTGGAACAATATATAGAACATTAATGTTTTACATGCAACAGAAAAGAGGCCCGGATCCAGCAAAGCCAAGTTCAGAGTCATGCTGGAAGCACGGGAACAGCTCTCGTGCTCGCTCTCCTCTGAGCATTTCTATAAGCTCTTGTTGGAGTGGAACTCAGGTCCACGCTCAAGACGTGACTCGCCTCCCTCCCAGCCCCACAAATCTAGCTCTCAATATGCAGAAAACACTTCCATCTTTAAAAAATAATTGAAAAGGTGCACCCTGAAGTTCACTGGATCGATCCCTCTAAATTATTTTATTTAGAAGACACTTCATTGTGTCAAAGATTTAATGGAGAGGTTACGATGCCCAGCTTTCAGAATGTCAATGCATTAAAAGGGAGTGTTGCAGGGAATGTTAAAACCCCCGGTAATGTACGCCCAAGCAAAACTGCCAGATTTATGAAATATGACAATTATTATACAGAGTTTAGATAAGAAATAGGCTGATGGGGAAAAGCAGGGTAAGGGCTGGAATCTTTCTGCATGAGTAGTGGGATGAAATTCAGCAGCCTCACTATAGACTCTTTTGCCTTCTCCTCCGAGCATTCGCTTCCCAAGCTGTATCTTTTGAAATGTGTGTATTTTTACATGAGCAGTATTTCCCGGCACACTTGATTAAATACCTTCCCTTGTTATTTATTGCCCATTAAACAACATATCTTCTGCAGGTACCTTCATTGGACAAAAGCTCTTTGCTATCAAATGCAGACCTCAGCATGTCTTAGGCCAGTGCAGTTTAGTGCTATGATCTCTACGTGGGGCTGCAGATGAGAAACACTGAGAAAACTCCAGCAGCACAGATCAGGGTTCTCTGCTTATTAAGAGGCACGTCTGGCATCCCACAATTACCCAACTTTACTTCATTTTCCACTTCTTGGTGCATGCGATAAGGTTAGAATATGCAAGATGTCCAAAGGTTTTCCTCTGTCTCCTTGGGGAATGTCTCTCTTCGGGTGCTGCAGGAACAATTGCCATCCACCCAAGTACTTCCAGGCTGTAAAGTTTCAAGTGAAACGGAAGGGCGGGGGAAGGAATGACAAGTCCTTTTTACTGAAATTCTCTCCCAAATGGATTTGGCAGAGCCTGGCTCTGCTGATCTTAAAGCAAGGTTTATCATTTGTGCAGGCTGCTGCCTGAAGGGGGAAAAGATCTTTGAAGTTGCTGAATGATGGAAGGGTCTCCCCCCTTCTCTCCCTCACACACATTTTTTGAGGGTGGAGACTGGGAGATGCTCAACTGCCCTGAGTCAGGAAATTACATGACAAATTAAACAATTATGTGTTTTAGTGCCGAGCATCTATTTAGGCATTTAGAGTCAAACATGCTTTTCGCACTAATTCCGTGGGCATTTACACTTTCCCCCATCACCTGTAATCCTACACTGCATTATTTTACTGCATGCCAAGAGCTCCCCTGGTCCAGTGTCTACACCTTGAAGAGATTTCTTTATCATTTAACTTTATTACAGAAGGCACTGCCTGGACACTGTTGAAGTGACAAGGACTATTTCCTTAATTACTGTACATTGATAATAGCATTTACTTTGGCAGCTCCAGTGCTATTCAATCAAGCAAGATTCAATACAAAAAAGCTGATTTGCCAAAAAAGAGATTAGCATAAGTGCCTACAGTCACATTCTATTTTTGAAGGTAAAGCTACTGTGTCTGTGAGCTTTCTTGTGGGAACTTTATAAAGAGAGATTAATCTAGTTTATCTCCTTCAAAAGATATTTAGGGAAAGCACACACAGTCACTGTTTGGGCTCTTTTGGTAATAATTTTCTATAAACATACAGAATAAAGACCAGCACAGAATGTGCTAATCAGCGGCAGGAAGGTATATTTCTTTCTCTTACATGGACGTAGACATTTGTTGTGAAAAAAACTCTGCGTTCCTTAGTTTGCTATTGCTGGTCTTTGTCATTTAATCAAGTGGTGACTGTAGCTGTTGTACTTTAAAATTAAATGCTATTATTTATGGTAGAACTTGTTCTAGTCAAAAATGCAGACCTCAGCACTGTGTACATTTGTAAGCAGAAGGTTAAGCAGGACATCTTAAATGGTAAAGCAAAGGGCTTAATCAAGGCTGAAGAGCAAAATGCAGTGGGATAACAGATATAGTAAATAGGCATTAATCACCACACAGGCTTAATCCAGGTATTAGGCAGTCTTGGGGCTAATACGAAGACTCACTTACATAAGGACTCATTCTACCAGCGCTTAAGTAAGTGAATAACTTTATTCTTGGGAGAAATTTCAGCAGTGTTAAAGGCCCTTGCAATATCAGGCCTACAGTATTGCTCTGTAAAATGATCACTACGCAATTATTTTGCCTGAAGGGGATTTCTGAGTTAGGAGGCATGTGGGGGAGTGGTTCAAGAAAGGAAAAAATTGAATTGCCAGAGCATAAGGAGCTACTCTTCCTTGTTGTTTTTGTTTTCCCTTGACACTGTCTGTAACCGTGACATCAAAATCCGAGCTAAGTACTTCTTGCCAAAGATGGACCAGATAAAATCACGAAGCCAGTATCATCTCATGTGAGACAGCTCACTGTCTTAGTGACAAATTTAGTGACTACAAATCCAGGCTTAGAACATAGTCCTTCCCTAGTCATAATCCAGCACTTGCACACTGGATTTACCTTTAACTACTGATGAACTCTAATTTCAGTTTCAAGAAGATAATAGCACATCCATAGGTATGAAATTCACTATACAGAAGTTCTTTTATTAGGTGCTCAGAAAGGTTAAAGTGCTTCCTCATTTAACTTAACATCAAAAAGTCCAAATCTTTATACAAACAGGCATGTCACATGTACTGACACACAGGCACACAAACCGCAGCCTCCGGCCCAGGGTGGGTTTTGGCATCCTGGTCAAGCTTGCCTTACCTAGCCCTGAAACAGAACAGGGAGACTCATGGTAAGCACCACACGACCTAACCTGAGGAATGGGGAAGGAGCAGGAAAAGTGGGGAATGGGGTCGATGGCCACGGATTATCTATTCAAGGAATAACAAGATGAAAAAAAAAAATCCACAAACCTTTAATTGTGAATATAGGAGAGGGACAGTGATGTAACTGTTCCCAGGGAACACTATTCTTATTTTGTAGAGGGAGGTGAGCCAAGATACTTAAGCTCTAGAGAACCTTTAACACAGGAAGCTATTTATCATAACAAGCTTGGTTGATACTGCTCCCATACTGAACCAATTAGATTAGCCTATTTCGTCATACTTCATAACTTGGGATGATAGGTTTCCAAGCATGGTACAGTGCAGTAATTGAATTTTGATCAAACACACATGGCCCATAACCCAGTATGTGAAACTTTCAGAACAGTTCACAGCTTTTAAATATCCAGTCAACATGTTGCCAAAAGTACAGGATGTACTTGATGCAAGTGGGAGAGGAGGGGGGGAGCACGAGTCCACGCCGTAACTTGGTACAGCTGTAAAACAAACATTTTTTTGTTCCGATTCTGTTCCTACTTTAGCAAAGGAGCTGGGAGGAAGACAGGGAATGTCAAGTAAGTCGTTTTTCTCCCCAACCCCCACACACTCCCCCCCCCCCAGCACGCATTTCCCTTCTAACATTCTTGGATTACCACAACCTTTTAAATTCACTATACTGTACTTACATACTGTATTAGACACACCAGCAATTCTGTTTGTTAGCATGACACATCCATTGCTTAGACTTAGTTAACAAAATAACTTAAAAGTCGCATGCATCATCCTCTTAATAGGGTTATCATCAATGGGACCATGGAATGAAAGCCCTAAAAATTACCCCCCACCTCTGCATTCCCCAGGCTTCTGCCTCTGCCAACACAATCCATATGGTGGGCAGCCTTGTCAGGATCAAGGTGAACACTCAGTCAGTTCTTTGAAGGCAGTGATCTCCTCTTACATGTTCTCGCCATGTTTTCCCTATGGTAAATCCAAGGAACTTTGAAGAAGACTCTGTGTAAAGGAAACAGAATACATTAATAAGTTCATTCCTACGGTTCTGCAGACTAGAGGGCAAAGCACCCACCGCAGACCAGGTTCATGACATGGAAAATGCTGTGGCAGGGTTTCACTTGAGCAAGTAATGGGTATCCACACTGAAGCTGCTCCCTGGCCTACAGCTAAGAGTCTGGCATGCTTCAGCAATGGAGCAGGGTAACACCAACCTCTGCATATTGTGCAGCCAGCTTTTCTCAGCTTCAAATGCTTTGACCTGAAAGGCAGCTGGAGGCAGCTCTGGCCACCTCAGCTACTCACAGGGGAAGTACCAGGGCAGACAACACCTTCACTTTCATTGAGGTGGTGCAAATGACATAAAAGATAGGAATTACCCCTATAGCCCTCCAAAGAGTGTAAGATCTGAAGGTTTACCAAGGTGCTTCTAGTTGCACTCTGTGGATGGTCTGCCTCCGAGCTGTCTCACATACCTGCTCTGCAGTACCACAGGTTCCAAGGGGAGAAACGGTGTTTTTCAGTTGTAACAAAATGTACATCTCATTGAGTCTTGCTCTTGGTTGGGGACAGGTATACTGCTTGATTACACACCCACCACCCTGTCAGAGACAGAGCGCAGAGGATGTGCTGGATGCCTTCTCCCTCCCCACCCCACTCCCCACTAAGTTATGATGCTGCAGAGAAAAGAAAAAGAAAAAAAATGGTGATCAACTGATCAGACTTGGACCAAGCATCAGCTCCAACCAAGGTTAAATAGGCCTGTTCTAAGCCTCTTAAAGATAGGATTTATATAGTAATTACTGTAATGGAAACTGATCTTTATAATTTTTATACTGCCTAAAATTCTGCTGTGTCATATGCATCTGCAGAGCCTCGGAACTGTGCTTCTCAGAGAGAGCACTGCAGTCTTGAAAGCAGCCATTCAAATGTATAATGGAGAATTATCAAAGCCTGAGTATGTTTGAGATTATAATGAAGCACGAAGAGTAAGACTCAGAAATACTGGGAAAAGCAAGGAGTTTGTATTTGAGACAAGCAGGATTTTTTAGACACTTTATTTTGTTGGGAGTTTATGGAACTAGATCTTCACTACACACGGTGTAAACAGCACTTTGTATTCTTATTTTTCCTTTCTTTTCCTTTGCTACAGTCTTAGATCTAGAGAGTGAGCATAGTGCAAAATGCATCTTGGTTGGACAGAATCCTCACATCCACTTTCCAGTTTTCTCTGTTGTGTGAGGAAAAATACCGGAGTGCTAAGTCTCTGCTGTACCATAAAGAACAACTTCAGAAGATTTGGAGATCTGATAGGGGGTTTGGCTCCACCTTCAGGAAGCAAAAGGCAAAGAGACAACGTAGTTTCAAGTTTCAGACATACTCTCTGCAGAAACCGAAGCCTACAACCTCCTCTTATTGACATCTACTGCTCCCTAACGTGTCTTTGCTTCATAGATATAAAAGATTCCCTGACCTGATGCCGTGACATTTCTACATACTTGATTCAGCTCTGAAGAGTCCAACTCCTCCTAGAGGTACTTGTGAACTTGCTGCAGGATGTCCAAAGGTGGCTGATAATGAACAGAGCTGAGAGATGAACAGAAGTCAAGAAAACCATCTCTGAAGTGAAAAAAAGAAGTTTGGGCACACTCAGGATTTCACAGAGCTGTACCAAATATTATTAGCCACTTACTTACACTCAGTACTAAGGGTTCCATACAGAATGCTATTTTCTCTTGTAATTCAGAGAGATTAGAAAGGTTCTCTGGGAAACACAGATGGATTGACAGAAAGAAAGTGGGAAGAGCCCTGATCAAATTTCAGTCTAGCAAAACACTTAAGCATATGCCTAAAGTTAAGCTATTTTTTCTCCCCAGATTCAGGCAGAAGATGCAAACAATAATCTCTTATATTCCACCTTTTTGCAGACTCTGGTGCAGGCTGAAGCCACAACATAGTAGCTGGTTAAAAAGCATGATTTAAATGAATTTAAATGATGCATTTTTTTTAAAGAAGCCATACAGTGACCATTGGTAATAATGAAAATGGCAAAGTGGTTTGGGATGAGACGACACCGAGTTTGAAAGACTGGATGATGTATTGGTGAAATAAAAGGCAATCCCACAGTTAGTGACAGTCCTACGAAAATGCATGGTTGCTTGCAAGATCCTGCCTCTGGCATTTCCCCAACTGGGTGCTTAAGCACCCAACCTTACTGCATTCGACATCGTTTTCTGGAGGGAACAGGTTTGAAAACTGCAGAGCAAGCAACAGGGATGGACTAAACACCTAATGAATCTAAAAATAAAACCCCCAAAACATGGGGAAGAGATGCGAGGAGACTGAATAGACATAGCTGTGTAAGCAAATAGAGCTGAATATACTCTTGAGGAACAAAGGAAACAATTCTTGATGGGGTGACAACAGATGTTCTCCAAAAAAAATTCTAACGGAGCATTTCAAACACAAAGACCTTCCTGTGGAGCTGAGAAGTTTTACTGGCAGACATACAGCAATACATCTTTGGAAACATAATAAAGCCTAACATTTAAGGTGTTATCAGGTCCTGAAAGCAGAAGTGATATCTTCATGTAATAAGTGGTGGGTGGTGGTGGAGAGGGAAACGGTTAGGATAACAAAATGCTGTCATAGGAAGTTGCCATAGCATAGTTGTGATTTAAACCACAATTGGAATAACAAGTCAGTTTGTTCTAAAATATCCCTAAATCCTCCCTTTTGGAAAGCAAGCTCTAAACACAAGTGAAAGATGCACAGGTTGACCAAACACCAGATGAGCTTTAAGGTCCCTTCCAACCCAAACCAGTCTATGATTCTATGAAACACAATCCAGAGTAACTTATGAATACCATAAGCACACTTAAGTACAACCACTTTTGCACTGTGTGACTGCAAAGTGCCCAGAGCTGAATATTTCTACCAGCTACTGCTCTTTCAGATCATGGTTAAGCACATTGCAGAACAATCCTAAAAGGGACATTAAAAAAAGAAAAAAGGACAGGTTTATGGAGTCATTTTTGCAGCGACTGAACTGCACCGGCACTTAGGGAAGATTTGGATTTAACTCCTGGCATGGATCTGCAGCATTTTCAGTGAAGAGCCTTACACAGGTTTTTAAAGGCTAGGTACTTCAAATTCTTTTTTTAAACTCTGGCCTTCACTTTTTATGTTCTTTATTTTTACAAATACAGAATAATACCTTTCAGTCCTGTAGGAATGATGAAAGGATTCCTGAATATCTGCAGGGCCAGCAGCTATCATTTTATCTGGGAACGAGGCAGGAGGATGACACAGTACATTGTCTAATTATTTTTATTGCTTTGCAACTGTTTTTATGAAAATAATCCAGAGAGATTATTCAGCACAGTCAGAGCAATAGAGGCTACAGGAACACTGGGGTGGACAACTTGATTGACAGGATTAAGCTCAAGCAGGCAGCAACACAGAAAATCATCATAGGACAGACATTTTGATAAATATTACTGTAGCCAATTTATTATTAGCACAGTGGGACAGCTTTACATCTCACATCACACTTTTCACAGCCCTTATGGTAAACATGCCATGTCTGATAATTACATGATGAAAACAAAGACCTCACTACTGGCTCTGCAGTTACTATCTGCTTACTCAGTTAACCCTCTCTAAACTTCAGTTAGGCAGCTAAACAAGTGTGCAGAAATGCAGGTAAGTGTGTTCAGATACGGAACATAATTCCAACAGTACTCAATACAAGATGAAAAGGTTACACCACCTTTGGCACTGATTTCCAAAAGGCTTTACAGACAAAGGAGAAGGTTGTGAAAGAAGTTGTTAAGACAAGATAGAGGAGCAAGTGGAATGCCATCCCAAGAGATGAGATGAAAAAGCAGTGCATTCCTCACAAGAGCGTGCATGGGTATCACAAACCAGAGAGCATCAGGAGAGAGTTCCATAGCAGCTTTTATTCCCTGCATTGGTTGATAGCCATCTTCTGTTCCTACAGAAACACTGTAACTTGGAATAACAAATCTTCCTCTCTGCTGGCTACTTGGTTTCTGGGATTAACAAACTATCTGATGGACCTCATAACTGATCATATTTTCATCTGATTCACACAAAATAGCTCCCGTATTCTTTTACAGATAATAAAGCACAGGATGGGCTGCTGAAATCATTAAGTCAAGCTCTCTGCTACTTGTACACATGGAAATATATTTTAGAATGAAATCCTGTGCAATGAGTTGCCCAAGTGTATTTTTTTATTATAAAGTCCATGGTATCTTCCTATTTTCACAGCTATATTATCAGCTTCAGCGTTAAAAACCAAAAAGCAGACGAGCCACAAGATGATCTTAGCCATGAGATTTTATTTGATTCAAACAGTTACTTTCCGTCCACTTCCTGTCTGTTTCTGGGAGTGTTACAGGAAACAAAAATGCACAAAGAGCATCCAGTGAGAGACAAAAGCGAAATAAAACAAGTACCAGGCAAGTGAATGAAGCTAACAGAGTGTTCTCCTCTTTTTGAACCCAGAAGTAGAACACAAGTATTCCTAAGCTACATCTTTCTTGTGTGAAGGAAAGAATTAGTGTTAATCACAAAATATTCCCTGTGGTTTATTCTCACTACCTATGTCAAGTTCTGCTGATCTAGAAAAAAACCTTGATTTCTTTACAAAGCTTTCTGTGCACCACTCAATGTAGGTTTAAGAGAGACTAAAACCCACAAAGTGCACATTTAAAAATCAATTTGGGAATCTCATTTTTTGTAATTCCCTTAAAAATACCTTTTGTGGACACACTAGAACCATTTTGAAAGTTTCATCTGAAAAACAAAAGAATACCCCAAAGTTTTGAAAACTATATACACTATAGTTTGTATCACATGGATTTCTCACTCAGTTCTTGCCAGTTTTCATTGGAAGGTGAAGGAAATGTTTAAAATTGGTCAAATAACACAGAGATTCTATTAATGTGTCTCTCTGTATATACTTTTCTTTAAAGGAGTATCTAGGTAAATCTTGGGTGTCCTAAAGACTTTGGTCAAACAACTTTGAAGGGGAAAGACCTCATTTCACTGAAACACAACTGATCTAAACCAAGATCCTTTTAAGGGCTTTGTTAGTAAAAAGTATTTACTTTTTTGACATTCTGTAGCTGTAAAATTCATACGCCAATTTCTTTTCAGGAAAAGAAGGTAAGTATTTCACTACAGATGGTTGCAAAAGTGGGGGGGGGAAAAATCAAAATAAGAAGAATGATTATTTTTTTATTCTAATCTCAGGGCACCCCAACATCTACACTCCTTTTTTGTGGTATGTTCTATTTTTTTACGCCTCCATATTTCTACTGTTGATCAGTACTCGCCAGATTTTGCAACTTGTCCAAAATTTGTCTTTAACCTTTAGAGAAATAATTATTTAAATTAATGGAATTTCAAAGGATCCATCAGCACAAGATTTAGGGCCATCTGGATTTTAACTAACAGGATAGAAAGAAAGGCCATTTCTGCGGTTTGGGATATTTAAGTTCATTTACAAACTGCTACACATAGCTTCGAAAACAGACCCCAAGTATAATCCTAGCCCAGCCATGCTAAAAACCTCATCAATTTCAATGGACTAAAGATCAGCTTCTGAACATATCTTTCTCCACCTCTCTATAACACTCTAAATTATACTTACAGACACAGAAGAACGTCAGTGCAAATTGCAGAAGTCTGCACATTTCACAAATGGTACAACTTGGCAACAAACCATGTGCTCACAGAAATAGAGCAGTCACAAAGAAACTTGGCGCCTTTGAGGTAAACTCATTCACTTGAGGAATTTTCATATTCTATCATCTTTGTTCCATGTACATTTAGTATTCAGTTCTGATGAAGTGTAATTAATAAGTCATCAGCAATTTCAGTGGACGACTGGATCCATCTGTGAAACTGAAATGCACCTATTTGTGACACTTACTGCCAGGGTTAAGGATAGGTCTGCATTTTCCTGAATGTGGCATTGGTAATAGTGAGCCTTGTAAGCCTTGCTCCATAGTAATCTATAATGTAACTAGAGCCATCCGAAGGTCCAACAATCTACAAGAGAAAAAGAACCAAGACTTTTCAATATGAAGTGAAATATATACTTTGTGCTAATGTCTCAATTACTGCTAATTTTCCCATCATAAAATTAGTCATGCTTAATTAGTCAAACAGAAAGTAGATTTATTTTGAAGTTATGCTGTAGTTAGTTTAACTGTTTTAGAGAGCGCTGTCTTAGCTTCTAATCAACCAAATTACACAGCCAGGCACTGGTGCTAAGTTAAGCCAGTGAGGATTTGAGTCACAAAATGGGGCTAACACACAAGTGGGCTCCAAACCACTCTTCTTGAACAAAGGAGGGTAGGCAGGAGAGAATTAGGCTGATGACAAATATCTTTGAAATAGTGCACAGGTAAGCAATGGAGAGAAGAAGTAAAGATCATGAGGTTTTTTTCTGTAAATGCTAAATTGATGTGGGGTCACCACGGAGATGAATAAGGAGAGATGAAAGAAAGACACTCTCAACTGCATCTGTAAATGAACTGAGGCAAGATGTGATAGCTATGTGATAGCACAGAAAGGAATTTGAGAATGCATATGATTTAAAAGATGTATACACAAAGGTGCATAATTTTAAAGTGTGTGTATATATATATAAATGCATATAAACAATTCCCATATTCAAAATGCATTTTAAGTTCATCACAGGCAATTTGCAATTCATGCACTACAGAGTAAGACAATTTGGCAATTTCATGATGTCACAAAATGTCACCCCAGCTGGAGATTTAAACATCATGAATCCTACAGTGACAGCTCTCGGGTGACATGGGACTTGTACTTGGAGGAGATGCAGAAAAAGAAATGGCAATGTCCCCCCCTGCACACTGCATGGACACCCCAGATGATGGGCTCCAGGGGTTTGGGAACAGCAGGACATCTCATGCAAAGTCTAACATTTTACGTCACATAAACAGCTCACAAGTTCTGACAAAGTGAATTTACAGTGCTATAGCTTCCAAGCTATTCATTACAAGTATTTATAGATATCTAATCTAATTTTTAATTCAAACAGCAAATATATTGATATTTCATACAATCATAGGATTATAGAATCGTTAGGGTTGGAAGAGACCTTAAAGCTCATCCAGTTCCAATCCCCTGCCATGGGCAGGGAGACCTCACCCTAGACCATCTTGCCCAAGGCTCTGTCCAACCTGGCCTTGAACACTGCCAGGGACGGAGCATTTACCACTTCTCTGGGCACCCTGTGCCAGTGCCTCACTACCCTCACAGTAAAGAACTTCTTCCTTACACCTAACCTGAACTTCCCCTGTTCAGTATGTCCTCATATCCATATTCTACAACATCAATCTACAGAGCTAAAATAAATGCCTTGACTTTTCAATACAAAAAAGTTCTTCAGGCCAAAATGCTACCAAAGTATGAGCAATTAAATCAAAGCTTTAACAAAACCACATTTGTAGCTTGTTTTGAAAGCCCTGACTTACCTGCATTGAAATAAGTATGAAATCAATTAGGCTCCCTATTCCACAAAATCCTACAGTGCAGAACTTCAACAAACCTAAAAAAGGAAAACAGGTTTAAGCCTGTCACTATGAAGTTCATAGGTTTCTGGTGGAAATCACATTCCAACTCTCCCCTCATCCCACAAAATACATACATACACACACATACAAACACACATCTAGAAACAGACCTAAAGTTAAAGATCTCTAATTATCAGGGGAAAAAACAAACCACACATTAATATTTCTACATCCTGAATACACTTCAAAGATTTTAAACTTTAACAATTTAATTTTTTTAACAGCTAAATACTCTTAAACAAGGAAAGGCAGAAGTTCATAAACATAAAACTGGAAATTTTCTTTTCTTTGATTGAAGCACAGACAGAAAAAATCCCAACCTGAGCAGCAAAATTTACTTGTGAATAGAGGGAGACTTTCTACCGTCTCATGAGTTGCAGCACATACTGATTCGATTTTCAGAACACGCTACTTTGGCAAACAATCCTTTGTATCATTTTTGTATTTTTGCTGAAATAGGAATTTATTTTGAATACATATTAAACAAATATAAACATTTCTCTTTAACTGGCATTCAAAAATGTTATTTTTTGTACAAATAAATGAAAGATTAATAGAAAATATATGGGAATAGCAACTAACAGATAAATGTTTCATTAGAAGTTGCCATGCAAGACAGACTTCATCTGGAAAATGCCTTGGGAAGAAGGAGGCTGTCTTAAATTTAGTTTTAACATCAGCAGTGTCTTATAAAATGAATATAATACAATGAGTAGTATATATAAGTAATACTCCAGTTGAGCTAGGCAAATCCCTAGGTTATTTTGAGAACGAGATACTCCTTAAGAAGACATTTGTTTGTCTCTTTACCCAGGCATAGGCAGTATGAGGAGGAATGCGTATCTGTTGCATTTAAATCAGTTTCAGGCTATGCTGTACAAGGAAAACACAGCTCAGTGCTAAAAAGCATACCTTAAGTGCTTACAAGGGCCAAGCACACTTCTGAGGCAAGAGAGCACACTGGTAATATCAGCCAGTGTGGCATCCCAGAGCACCTCTTCCCCACGGCTACAAGTTGAACTGTGCTTCATGATACCTGCTGGTAAAACCTCTAGTAAAAGCCCTTCTCTGAAGAAAGAGCCTGCTCTCGGTCAAACACCTGAAAGTCTCCTGACCTCCACCTCCTCCTTTGTGCTTACCTCTCTCAGAAGCAGAATTCTCTCCCACATACTACCTCCTCTCCCCCATGCCCTGTTTATGAGGCTGCATACGGAGGAGTAACTGCATGCATGCTGCAGGAAGAGCATCCCACAGTCTGAATAAAGCTCCCAGAGTTGACAAGACGAAACTAGCCTGATTTATAAATGCCAGGGAGACAGTTTATAACCTCTCCATGGAACAACACAGTAGTCAGAGAGCACAGGGGAAAAATACCTAACAACGAAGAAGATGAAAGAGTAGTAGCAGGATGGTCTTTCAGCTGATTAGAGAAAAAAAACTTACGTGCATAATGCAACTAAAGTGGTGCCACTTAAACGTGCAAACCCCAAAGTATTACATTGTTTAAAACCACTTGTTCCCAGTGGCTGACCTGTGAGACTTGCAGCAGCCAGACACGGTTAGCCTGGCAGGAGCATAGCAAAACATAAGGGAAACAGACAGCTAAATGCTGGCCTTAGGAAACATCAGTTGAGATTATTAAATAACACCAAACTGTCAAATGGTTTACTTTGTTATTACCTGCACTGAGTGCAGTCACCATTTAAGATACTTGTGACACTTCTTACACCATCTCCTCTCCAAGCTCTGGTCCTGAACTTCAGTGCCAGTTGGCATTTCCAAGAGCACCTCCAGTTCATTTGAGGAACTGGCTGCTCCATTATACTGAATGTAGAACTGTTTCTGAACCTGGCATGTATTTCTGGAGTGCAGGGTAAAGTTGATTTTTTCTCTTCCTCCTCACTTCCCTCCCCAACAAGCAGATCACACTGAGAAAATAAACTCCTCTAAAGCATGGAGGGAAAAAATAGTGCTCTTACACAGTAGTAACTTATGGTTTAGTTCACAGTGTGTGGGAGAGGAAGAGGTTGCTTTCCTGATTTCTTCACATTCAACAGCTTGTATTTGTGTGTGCTCTTTAAGCAAAAAAAGAAGGAAAAAAATAAACCAAAGAGCATTTACAGTCTTTATTATGCTTGCACAAAGTATTTCAATGATATTAACCTTTCTTAACCATTCTTTGCCAAGGCATGGATGACCTCAAAAATCCCCAATCAACCACTGTAAAGGAATCCAATGAATTGATCTTCTACTCTTACCTATTTGCTTTTGCCAAAAGCTTGAAAACATGACTGTGGGAGAGTTTAAGCCTTTTAACTTTGGTTACTGGCTACAGTATATTCCAGTAGGGTTAACAAGCATAAGCCATAAAGAACTTCTATAGAAGAATGGAGGATTTATAAATCTATATTACTACAATATAACACAAAATAATTACTGCAAATTATTATTCCAAATGCAATGGTACAACAAAAAGGTGCACCTTATTGACCATTTCCAAAAATGGATCTTTTGTGAAACAGATGGACAAAGTAAGTGCTAATTAGAGAATCTCGGAGAAAAAAAAACACAGATGTTATCACAAGATTATTGAGAAGGACAGAGAATATTGTGAAAAAAACAAGGGTTTGCATTTAGTGAGCAGAAACTCAAAATTCCAAGCTGAAGTGGCAGTAACATGTGTAGCTTTTCCTAATTCGTTGCTCCATGCTACCAAGGCTTAAATTTACTCCCTTTGCCCATCTCATAAACAAAGCCAGTGAAAGTAGCTCTAACATACTGCCTTTATTTAAAAGCTAATGGCAACACCACCCTGGGAATCAGGTCCTAAAAACGCTAGCCAGAGGTAGTTCTTATTAAAGATCCCAGTTTCTGCAGAACTGTTATTAATACTATGAGCTATTTTGAAGGTGTCTATTTGCCAGAATAAATTCTATATCCCAAAACACTGTAAAGTTTGTCCATTATTTTCCTGGTAAAATCAAGCATCATTTAAGTAGTTGGCATATAAGTCAAAACCTCTTCTGTTTCAATGTCTCACAAAGAATGCTGTGATAAACATCAATGCAAAGCAAACATAAAGCAAAACTATGAATAGCAATAATCAAGTTTGCTTATTAGGATTTTATCTTTTGGAACAACTATATACCCATTTCCTACCACTCACTCCAACAGAATAGCAGGCTGAGGATAATGCAGGATTTTATCTTGACAATAAAGTGAGGATTCTAGTTATAAATATTAGAACTATGACTGTCAGCCTTCATTACTAAAAATACAAAGGTACACATATGTACAATAAGCTCTATCTCAAAGAAAAAATAAGAGAGAAACTTACCTAATGCAGGATAACCTAAATAAAATCTATCTGCTCCCAGCCATCCAAGAAATAAGGACAGAGCCACTGCCACTTTGTATGAGTATCCATTGCTGCCAAAAGAAACAATATAGACAATGACTGCAAGATATATTCACTCATACTTTTGAGAATTAAAAGTAGTGAGTCACTTGCCTGCTGCTTCACTTTTTAAAAACCCTACAGACTGTTATTTAGCTTCAGTTAACAGACACAGAATTGATAATATTAAGCTTTCAAACTGGGTAGGCATCCTCCATAAAGCAATCTCAGCTGTTGCAACTCGAGTATACTCTTGCAGAATACAGACTATTCTGAAACTAAATCATGATTTCTTGTCAGGACGTAATCCCCAGTTTCACAGAGTACTTCCTAACAGTTCAGCCCTATTGAGACAACCCTAGAAAACTAAGAGGTGCATGCACACTGTCTGTAGGCATTAGTCTCACACTCAGCCAAATCGAGAGGAACAGGATAGACAGGTGAGATGTCAGCAGAGACAGGAATTGCAATGAGATCTGAAGGAGAAATGAACCATGGCCACTGGCTGAAGAAGATGCAGGAAGGATTCAATAAAAAGGGTAAGTCATGTACCCATTTACTACACTCTAAAAGTAGTAAATGCCACAAACTCACAAACAAAAAAGACTGTTGATGGTACAAAGATGTACAGAGGTACTCTAAAGCATCCCATGGTCAGAAATACAGAATAAACAGACACAACAGTTTCTGAGATTTATGCTAATAGGCACCATTCTAGCCACCTAACCATGTGTGACTTTATTTGTAAGTAACTTATACTAATAAGTGAGCTAGAAACATCTAGCTGTCAATACTAGAACTTGCTGCATCCTTTGCTGCATTGGTGAACAGCTAGCTTCTGAAAAGAAAAGCAAACCCAAATGTAATTAAAACTTTAAAAATATTCAATAATTCACTGCTTTGGTACTTGCACTTCTATGTCCTGGCAATTATATAAGAAGTCCAAATTAAACTCTTGGTTGACAGTCGAATAAAACATAAGTTTCAGAAAGACAGGAGCTGAGAAAGGTCCAAGCACCTTTATTAAGCACTTTCAATGCCAAATAAAGATCCACCTTTTTGCTTATTATCTAGATTTACTGACTTTAAAACTTAATGGCAACATTAAGGGATTAAATCATGACTCTTACTTCAATATTTGTTACTTAGCACTTACTAGCAACACTCTGGAACCTAACGTCATGTAAATTATCCTCTTTAGAACTGTCTTGTTTCCACTGTAAAGAACACTAACGGTTTTATTTCAAAATTGAGGGAAACTGTTGAAAATTGTTTATGAACTACAGAAGTGTCAACAACTCTCCAAGGACACTAAAGCATAAAACAAGCTCTTGCACAAAAGGTGGGAACACAGTTTAATTTGAGATGCTTCTAATCAAAACTAGTAATAAACAGAGCACTTGCCTACGCACTGAGATGCTTTTAAAAGCAGAACAGTGTGCAACCTAGTCAGAATCAAACTGACGAGCAGAAGAAATCTAGTCTGAAGTGGATGCATGTTAATAGTGTAACAAAGCTGCATCCACTCTTGTATTTCCTTTGTCTTACTCTTTCAGTTAAAAATATGCACTGCAGACCAAACCAGTGAGTAGGAAAATAACACATCCCAGGCATCTAAGTGAATTTCTACAGTTGGGTAAAAGATGCAATTTCCTTTCAGTTCCTCATCAGATTTTTTTTCTTGCTTCTCAGCTCTTAATTTTTTCTGCATATGTTTCTTCCACCTGCCACGCTAAAAATGTTCTTCCAGCTCTTCCACATCAGTTGATAATATGCAGGTAGTGCTGTAGGTCATGGTGGTTCCTGTGCTCCTTTAGGTTCTCTTAGCACTTCTCAAGGACCTGTCCACACCGAACTCCATGAATTTCATAGACTACCATTTTGTGGACTCCTTTCCTGGAATGGGAATACTTGAGCACTAGACATTTCAAGTCTGCAGAATCATGGCCTGCACATATTAAGCAAAATACATGCCAGAGTGCCCATGTAGGGAGTTCTAGAGCTCAGGGGGAAAAAAACCTACCTCCAAAACATCAAATTAAAACCAAACCAAAGCAACCTTGACTTTGCTGGAGTAATCTCATTAGCACTTACAAGCTTTCCCTTGAACTAACACGAGGAGCAGCTGAACTTGAACACATCCACTTACACAAACACATAACATCTCCTGGTCTTGCTCTGTAATAACTGGATCCCAGAATTGTTACCTGGGCTGTTGCTGAATTACAGTTTGGCTAAGGCAAACTTGCTGACTTGCCCTTTCCAAAAGCTAGGTATAGAGCTGAATGTGCTGTCCCCATGCTAGGACAACCCTGCTAACGGGACGATGCCTTCTCAAATTAATTTTCTGGTTAAATGACGTGCAGTTATTTCTGCCAGAAGATGGGTGCAATTTCCATCAAAACTCAGATAAGACACTAGAAAATCTACAAAAAGCAGTAGAAAAGGCAGGCCTATTGTTGTAATATTAAGCTGGAGATCCCTGCTTAAAATAATGTTTCTCATAATTAAGTAACATTCAAAATGGCTTAGAAAAGGCTCATATAAATGATCAGTGATTAGACAACTTTTTAGACAAGTGTACATACGAAGTATGGTAGTATTCATCTTGCTGCCATTTTTACCTGGCTTTGGGGCTTTATCAAGAGTGTGTTTCCCTAAGTCTTCCTACATTCCCAGTTGTATTCTACTTGCGTCTTCAGCAAGCCTACAAAGGTTCCCCTTCTGCCACACTAGCAGTCATGGGATTGGGAAAGCCACAGAAAGTTCTTTTGATAGTGTAACCATTGATTAGTTCACCATCAAGAATCGTCATGACCAAGTAACAGACATCCCAAGAAGGATGACATTTTTCTGCCTACATAGATATATTTTTTAATTAATAAATGTAATGAAAAGCTACATTTAAAACATGTTTCTAGAAAATGTATTAAACCAAAAATATACACATATACAAAAAACTCCAAGCAGAAGAACTACTGTCTACCCCAAAGAGAAAGGAATTTTATTAAACTAGTATAGCTCATCTTGTTCTCAGTCCCCATCACAGATGGGACTGAAATGCAATTGTTTCTGGACAAAAATGTGACTGAAGTCTAGTTTGCGAGCATTTAAATTTGATTAGATGTAATAATATGTTTTCTTCAATTTGCTGACCTTTGACTGTCGAGAAGACTAAATACAGAGAAAATATTTATGAAACTAAGAGGCAGAGCTGTACTTCAGAGTTACGCAAATTATTGAGCAGTAAGAACTGCATTAGAGTTATTTGCCCACTGGTGTGATAAGGAACACCCAGTGAATATTACTGGTGGTTTAATTTCCAAAGATTCCAGTAGGACAAAAGAAAAAGGCTCCTGCAAGAAAGTCCACAAAAAGGAGAAGCAAATGGTACAGACAGGTGTTGGCTGATCATTAGCATTGGCCAGTTGGAACATTTATTGGTACCCAGAGCTCTCCACTGCTCACAATGTGCTTTAGAAAAACTTGGTCCATCATTTTCACATTTCAGAAACAGGCTCTTAAAAGACACAGAGGACTCACTTAAACACAAAGGTTGTTTAAAAATAGAGAACAGTTCCTCTGAAAGAGATTTTTGGGGGAACTGAATTGAGACTTAAACTCCCCCAATAGTCATGCATACTACAACTTTAGCTGCAGCTACAGGCACACTTTAAACTGACATGACCCAGTACTGACACTGGACAAAGCAGTGCAGTCCAGCCCTCCTTTCTCTGCTCTTTTATCCTTGAGTTGCCTTCATCCTTACAGTGGCACAAGCACCTGAAGTGACTGTACTGTGACTGAAATTGGGGAAGTTGATCCAAGTTAGTTCAAACCCAGATCAGTTCCCCGATTCAGTACATGGTGCAGCAGGGGAAGGGATGGAGAGGTGTCCCCAGACAGCTCCTTTCAGCAGCTGTGTGGATTTTAAGCACATGTGAAATGTAGTTTTCATGTTTAGGGCAAGTTTTGCCAGAGTAAAGTACTAAGTAAAGCAAAGGTAAAATACTACAGTAGAGCAAAGACACAAACATAACTAAACAAACAAACAAAGTGTCTAAAGCAGAGACAGATTTACTTATAAACATGCATATTGTACTCTTGCATTGCTTATTGTGTCTATTAAAGGATTAAGTACTGGGCAACATGTGTATGGGTCAATCTTACTTCTCTTTTTTCCGTCTGTCAACACATCACACCGTTTTAGAAAAACATCAATGTGAAAACAAAGACAAATTGTTACAAAAAGTACCCGTGTACTTACACATTGCGACATGCAATAGGCTTGTAAAATCCAACTTCATGTCCTGTAAAGACTTTTTCTACACCAAGGTGATCTTTGCAAGTAATATTTGGTGCTGGCAGACACTGAACTGAGGACAAAAAATTATATGAAATTAAGCAGTAACTGATGGTGCATTGTAACATTTTTTCTGACAAGACACAAGGGAACAAACGAAGATCTACTGTGCAATAGTCATGATACAGAGCACAGTACACACGCATACATTCTTGTTTAAATAACTTTTTAAAGCTATTTCTATGACAAACTTGTATTTTTTCCTTGCTACATATTAAATAAATTATACAAACCTAATTGCTGCCCTAATTCTGATTTAATTTCCATCCTGGCTCCAATATGAGTCAATGGGAAAGCTGAACCTGACATACAGAAAACATTTTCATCATGAGAAGTCAAATATTGGAACAAGTGGCCCAGAGAGGTAGTGTGCCATCACCATCCTTGGAGGTGACTTTCAAGATCTGACTGCACAAAGCCTTTAGCAACCTGGTATGAAGTGGGTGCTAATGCTGCTTTGAGCAGGAGGTTCCTGAGTCGTCTTTCAACCCAACTTACTCTATTATTTTTAGCTAAGACTTGACTCTTAAGAGAGCCAGCATGGAAATCACAGCAGAAAGTGACATCTGCTAGAAGTCTGCAGTGTATTGTCAGAATGTTAGTCACTATCCAGTGTTGGTGTCTGTTGTTTTAAAGGGAAAAACGCACTTTCTATCAGTTTTCAGTACTTCTGAGTCCTGTTGGTTAATCCTAACAAAACAAGCCAGGTTCAACATGTCCTTCCAAATTTTCCAATAATACACACAGGCAAGAGGACTAGGATTTAGATTTTTTTCTAATATCTATCCATATTACATAAGACAAAAAAAATATTGAGTTATGTCTGGAACTTAACTGCTATGAAGTCCTACATGGATGATACTGATGTGCCTAACCTAAGACAATAATAAAAGAAATTACATTATTTCTAGTAGTAAAATTATGCAAATAAAGTAGTTGCTCTCTGCTATTCAGAAACCCACAGCAGTTATCATACATTGATATAGAAAAAGCCACAATTATCTTGTCAATCTGACACCAGTAAGACTCCAAACCTGTTACTCAATGAGACTACTTCAATGCTTTGAATTAAATCCTAATTTGTTTGGGTGATGGATCCCAGAAAGGTGTTCAGAAAGAACAGTGCTTCAAGCATGATCCAGAAGATTAAGTTTTTATTACTTACGTAATACTGAAAAAGCAAGGAACTCAAAACACTCTGGGAACAATCTAAAACCTGTTATATGTGTAAAAACACCACACATAGAAAACAACATGTTAATTGTTAGCAACTTCCTCCACTCTGAAGCTTATCTCCTGTTCTGATGTGTGGTGTATTAAATACAACCACAATGTAGTTGGTTAGACAACAATATCTGAGCTGTGAACAGTCTCAAGCTATGTCATATTCTTTCTGCTCAATGACTGGCCATTTACAATCAGAGACAGAACGTCAAAGACGATGTAAAGGACTGAATAACTTTACAAAAGATCCATTTTGGATAGTATTTTCATCCAGTCTCTGAAAAATATTTGGAAAACCTTCACTATCCCTAAGCAACCCAGTGAAGAAAATTATTCAGTATTTATGGAAAGCAAAACATGAAAGACAAGAAGCACAGAAATGTGTTTTAAACACGAATGCACATAAAGTGGAACTGTTGTGCTATTAACTAACACAGAGACCATTTATTTCAACACCTGAGAACATAAGAAAAGCTAAACAGAAGTGGTAAACCAAGTGATCAATTTAAGCATTTTTCTGTTGTACTCCAAAATACACTAGAACTTAACACTCAAATAAATGTAAGTGCTCTCAAAACAGAGCCTTGTGTCACCAAAACCTCCTGATGATGGAAGGCACTATGTTGCCTTGAAAAAAAAAAAATCAGAAGATTTTGAAGGCTGTTCTGTCATGTGTCAATTCTTTTAATAATTATATGCAAAATCATCATGACGGGAATGGTTTGTTTTAATCACACTAGTGCAGGACAGAGCCTAGAGGATATAACATACACGGAAGAGATTTACCAGAAACCTCACTTACAAATGTCCCAATCAGAGACAAAGTATTTATCCATTTTTTAGTAAAGTATCCAACCCACACAAGTGGTTTAGGCTTTCATACTAATGATATTACTAATCCCATGTTTCATAAAGCTCATCTAGCAGATACACAAATGCATAAATTGTACACTTCCTTGGAAAATGTAGTTAGTGTCAATATATAAGTTAGAAATCCTTACCATATGCTGTGTGATTTGTGCAATTCATTGGTTCTTGGGTACTATTGTCTATTTTAGGCTCATCGCACATATATGTTCAGGTAATTGAGAAAAACATTTTTCGTATCAAACACTACAACAGGTTTAACAGTAATTTATTCCACCTTCTTTAAACCCTGAGGATTTAGGATGCACCTTGATGTTAGCTCCTATCCATCCCCCAAAATAGGAACAGCACATTACCATACACTAAATCTGCTAATCCAATTTAATACACCAATATATCGCATAAGCTCCACATTTAATTAGTGCTGCAGTCAGCACTACCTAAAGGAATAATATTTATCAGTCACAGCCTCTGTATTTGAAGGCAACAAGGTAGCACGCCTAACCTAGTCTTCTCCCCTTATTTCAATATCAGAGTACCTTTGAACTGAGGCATGTGGTTGAGAAGATGAATATAGAATCCTAGAATGGGCTGGGTTGGAAGGGACCTTAAAGCTCATCTAGTCCCAACCCCCGCCACGGGCAGGGACACCTTCCACTAGAGCAGGTTGCTCCAAGCCCCTGTGTCCAACGTGGCCTTGAACACTGCCAGGGATGGGGCAGCCACAGCTTCTCTGGGCACCCTGTGCCAGTGCCTCAGCACCCTCACAGGGAAGAGCTTCTGCCTTAGATCCAACCTGAATCTCCCCTGTTTAAGTTTGAACCCATTACCCCTTGTCTAGGAATTTGGACTAGAAAAAAGACTGAGCAGGAACTAATTTCTATAGGTCTGAACTCCTACAGCCAAGTACAGCAGGAGCTGAAGTTAACTTTCCCAGCATTTTCTTTCCTGACACTTTTGACCATCAATAACTGCAAGGTACCATCAACAAACGTTTTCTGGGGAAGGCCTGAAATGTTTTTGGACAGTCAGGGTCTAACACATCCATCCCGCTCCTCTGGACTGCAGAGAACTCAACGTGGTGCAAAGACACCATGACCCACTCGAGTGTCCTGCAAAACTCAGAAGCTGGAGGGGTGGAGGAGAGGGGTCTCTCATCCCAGGGGATATTCTCTTTGAAAATAATAAAGGCATCCCAACCTTGGACACACTGGACACCCCCAAAATGAACCTAGGCCACTGCAGACGTGCCTTCTCCAGCTCCTTCCAGCCAAGACTCCCTCGGGGCTCCAGACCTGAGGCTTCCTGACACCCGTGGGACACCCTGGCCTTATCGGGCCCCTCACACCTTCCACCTCCCCGGCTCCCTCCGAGGCGGCTGCACAAGCGGCCCCCTCTCAGGC